TATCCAGAGCAGCCGCCCGCTGAGAAAATGGCTGTGTTTGTTTCCAAGTGTGTCGTGTGAACCGTGGGCTAAATATACCCACACCACTGCCTCCCGGCACCCGCCCTGGAACAGCACGCCCCATTCTGCTGGTGCTCTGTCTACAAAAGCAATTCGCAGAATCCACAGCCTTGGAAATCCTGCCCCCCTCCACCCTCCTAAGAGAAGGCGCTCCTTGAAGTGGAGATGAAGTGTTGTTCTGGCCAGGAATGCACTCGTGGGGGCTGGGCAGGTCAGAGCCTTGTTCTTGATGGCACCGAAATGAGAATGTTCCCTCCACCCTGGAATGACTGTTCCTGGACAGTGAGTGCTTTGTGCCTTTGCAGGGACAGAGCCTGTTTACTCCAGCCCAGCCCCAGAGCCGAAAATGTCCTGTGGCTGCCAGCCCTCTGCTTCAGGAAAGTTCCCACTGAGGGAGCCAGGCCGCTCCCACTTTGGCTACAGCCCCAATGTCCCGGGCTTCTTATGGGACATGTGGCCCCTTGGGTTAACCATGGCCTTCTGGCCAGGCCTCCCCACAGCCCAGGACTCCCCCCATCACAGGTCTGTCTTTTTTGTGAATTCACCTGGGCCTACTTTGCTTCGGATCAGAAAAATTAAAACTCCTATAAGAATTTTTTTTGCCAACAAAAATGGAGGCTAGCCAGGATAAAGATGGAGAGACAGGGACGCATATCCACACCAGCCATGCCTGGCAGCAACAAGGCCAAGAGTTCAAGGGGGGCTGACTGCTGCCGCTGCTATACCTTCTCCCCAGGCCCAAGACTCACCTCCACCCCACCCCACATCCTTTTAAACGGGAATCGGTTCAGCACTAGTGACAGGTCCTCCCCAATGCCCCGCACAGGGAACGTAGCGTAGCAGCACTCCCTTTGGAGCTGGGCAGTCCTGAGTTCTGATCTTGGCTTTGCCACCTTTTAGCAAGGCCTTCCTATTGTAAACCTCAGTTGTCTCATCTGTGAAATAAGTTTCAGATCGCTAGTCTGGGAATTATGATGAAGGTGCAATGAGATAATAGTGCCTGGCACTTAGTAGACATGCAATACTTTCGTTCTACTCATGTATTTACCGACTACCAACTCTGTGCTAGATAGTGTTCTGGGTGTATAGAAATAAAACAAAATCTCTGCCTCATCAAGCCACGTCGAGTGCAGGAGATAAATCAAACAAAAACAAAGTGTAGAATCTGGTTATGAAAAGTGCTGAGAAGAAAAATAAAGGAAGGTAAGGAGATAGGAGAGATGGGGGTGGATACCACGTTAGACACGGGGGCCGGGGAAGGCCTCTGAGGAGGTGACGTTTGAGCAGAGTCAGGAGTGCAGTGAGGGAGGGAGGCAGGTGATGATCTCGGGTCCAGTGCTCCAGGCAGCAAGAGCAACAAGCTCCTGAGCTCAGCAGATACTCCGGACAGCGAGGAGGCCGTGCTACGTGTGGAGTGTGCAGTGGGGAGGGGCCCTGCTAACCTGCTGGTTGTGATAAGGACTTGATTCCAGGTACAATTGGGAAACCTCAGGAAGGTTAAGAGCATGGAGTGATGTGGTCTGAATGGGACTTTTCCCAGCAGAAGGGTAAGCTTTCTGGTAAGGGCTGTGGCTTATGTGTCACTGCTGCCTTCCTAATGACTGAATAAATGTTGAGGATTCTTTGAGCCAAGTTGGCAGCTCAGTGCACGTGGCACTTGCTAGGATACCAGGGATATGAACAGACATGACAGTGGCTTTCTGAGTGCGGAGAGAAGCTGTTAGAGGACTTGAAGCACAGGCGTACTATGATCTATGTTTTTAAAATTCTTCTTTGTGTGGAGCATGGACTGAGGGGGGTTATCAAGACCAGAGGTGGGTCCAGTCAGTATCAGAGAGCAAACTGGCTGGGTGGGACCTGGGGCCAATTGGAGATGGCAGGCCCTGACTGAGGAGCAGGCACCACTCAGTTAGTTGGGACCAGGTGGAAATGTGGCCCAAGGGGTGAGCTCTTGGTGGAGGCAAGAACACTGGCTCTGGAACCAGCCAGGAATTCATTTCATTCCCTCCCTGGACCCACACAGTGCATTGATTTCTAGGTGCCAGATGCTAGGCTTGGGTTTTGGTTCCACCACTGACAAAGCTGGGTGACCTGATCAAGTCCCTCCCCGCTCAGAGGCCAATTTCCTGGTCTGTAAATGGGGAGAGACAGCCTGCCTTGCAGCATTGTTGGGAGGATTAAAGGACACATGGGGTGGGAAGCTTCTCATTAAAGGGTACTCTAAGCTCCCCTTTCCCTGCCCCACAGGCCGGCTCCACCCTGGGCTGGGTAATTTAACCCGAAGCCCCTCCCTCCCGTATCATGTGCTTCCCTCCTGACTAGCTTCAGGGCCCAGAGTTGTTGCTCACCTCCTCCTGGACACAGAGTCATGTCCCCCCTGGGGTGGGGAACAGGGCTGGAGCTCATAGACCCACCCCAGGCCTGTGTGCTTGTTCTGGTCTCTGCGTTGCCCTGCTCAGCCTCCCTGGGCAGAGGAAGAGGGAGCCATCCTCTGCCAGGAATCATTCTGGGAATTCACTTCCCTTTTCTCTCCCTCCCTCTCTCCATCACAGCAGTGGAAAGCTTATGGCTCCACCCTGCCCTCACTCAGACTCTACTCCAGGCTTCTCTGGGGCTTAGATCACACGTGGTCCAGCTCCCGCTCACCCCTGCACCCTCATCTCTCCTATCCCTTCCTTCTGCACTCTGCTCCTGCAATTGGCCTCCAGTCATTGCCTGCCCATCTCTTTCCCACCTCAGGTTCAAGAGCAGGGGTCCTCAAACTTTTTAAACGGGGCCAGTTCACTGTCCCTCAGACCGTTGGAGGGCCGGACTATAGTTTAAAAAAAAACTATGAACAAATTCCTATGCACACTGCACATATCTTATTTGTAAAATAAGTAAAAAAACAAAATGGGAACAAATACAATATTTGTATTTGCATGTGGCCCGCGGGCCGTAGTTTGAGGACCCCTGTTCTAGAGTACCATTTCCTAGCTGTCTGACCTGGAACAAAGCTCTTTTCCTACTTCACACTCGCTTTCTCAGCAATAAAATGGGTTGGTCATTTCCAACTGGAGGTCAAGAAGGAGGGCAGTTCTTAACCCTTTATCAGGCCCAGAGTGGGCAAGGATGACAGCAGTTTTTCAAATTAAGGCCATCGCATGAAGATGGCCCCCTTCTCCTGCCCACCCACATTACTGTTTGAGGATTCCAATAGCACCTTTCCTTCTCTCTCTCTCCCTGCAGGACACTTTTGTGGAACTCTACGGGAACAACGCAGCAGCCGAGAGCCGGAAGGGCCAGGAACGCTTCAATCGCTGGTTCCTGACGGGCATGACTGTGGCTGGCGTGGTTCTGCTGGGCTCACTCTTCAGTCGGAAATGACCAGACACTGACCATCCACTCACCCTCCCACGCCCGTCCTTCCCCCCCACATCCCTCCTTTCAGCCACCATTGCCACCAGGAGAACCACTACATACAGCCCATGGCCACCCTACACATCACAGGGTTGGGCCTAGACCTGGTCCCCCACAATTAGTTTTCTAGAATTTACTATGCTTCTGTGAGAGCTGCCTTCCCCCACACCTCAGTTCTCCTGGCCTCAAAACCCACAAAGTTTCCCCAAAATCTGCCCCATGGAGCTGGCAGGCATGTGGGAGTTCATGGCTGATGGCTGGAAGGGCCCTACCTGATTGGTGGGACCTCCTTATCCCTTAGCCTCCCCTAGAATGCTTTCCTGCCAGGGAGCTAGAAAGTTTTCTGACCCTTTTTCCTAGAAAGACTAGATTGCCTTCGTTTTCATGTTTGTGGCCTCAGAATTGATCATTTCTTATCCCCACCCCACCCTCTAGGACCTGGGCTCCCCTTTCTTTCATTCCCACCCTCCAGTGGCCACTTAGGGGCCAATTCTGACTAATTAGGGATTCAGGCTGCTTGGGATAAAGAAACAAGGACCAGGACCCCCTCCCCAACTCTGGCCTGACCAAAGTCTCCCCTCCCACCCCAGCCCCAATGTCCTCTAGAGGTGTCTGGCTAGAGGCCAGCCTAACCCAGGAGGAGGGGGCTGTACTGCAGGAAGCACCCCATACCAAAGCTTGGGTGTCCCTTGCAGTTTAGCACTACCCCAGCTTCCCTCCCTTTCCCCTCCCCTGGCTCCCATGACCGTGACTGAGGGACCAACTGGGCCCAAGACAGGTGCCCCAGAGCTGTTTATGGCCTCAGCTGCCTCACTTCCTGCAAGGAGATCAGCCTTGTGGCATCTTTGCTTTGGATTGCTGCCCATGGGGTTCAGAGGCCTCAGCCTAGAGGGGAAGGGGAGCTACAGGCAGTAGCTATGGGAGCCCTAGGGTCTTCCCTACCTCAGGCAGGAAGGGCAGGAAGGAGAGCCTGGTGTGCAGGGTGGAAGTAGGGCTGCCTGGAGGGGCCAGTCCTGCCTGGCCAAACAGATTTGTGCCCCACCCCCATTCAGCCTAGGCAGCTGGGCTGCCAGGTCAGAATGGCCTGGCCAGGAGCCCTTCAGGCCTCCCTCCCTCCTCTGCTCTACCCACAGCCTGTCTCATCCCTGGGGGTCCCGGCCTAGCAGCCCTGCCCCCCCACCCCCACCCCCTGGGCTCTCTGCTGTACATATTCAAAACTAGTTTTTATTCCTTGTGAAGATATACTATTTTTGTTAAGCGTGTCTGTATTTATGTGTGAGGAGCTGCTGGCTTGCTGTGCGTGTGCACATGGAGAGCTGGTGCCCAGAGATTGAACAGCCTGACGCTCCCTCCCTGCCCTGGTCCGAGGAAGCCAACCGGGGGTCCTGGCTCCTGAGGGGCACCTATCCCTCCCCCAACCCCCACCCCACACTTGTCCCAGCTCTTTGAAATAGTTTGTGTGAAGGTGAAAGTGGAGTAATAAACTGTGTTGATCATTGAGCAAAGGGCCTGGGCTCTTGTGTGTTCTGGGACGGGAAAGAAGGGACTGACACAGAGGCCGGAGGAGAGCCGGGTACTGGTGCTGGCTGTGCTGCCCTCCGGGGAGGCCCTTGGACAAGCTGCTTTCTCCCTTGGGCCTGAGTTTCTCCACCTGCATATCGATGGGCTTTTTATTGAGCACTTGCTGTGTGCTGGGCACTGGGGCTGTATGTGAACAGGACAGGCAGTCCTGGCCCCAGGAGCTGACATTCTGGGGGGAGAAACAGTCGGATAGCCATAGGCACTGGGGATTCTGTAGTGAACAAAGTCCTTGCCTTTTCGGAGCTTTCATTCTAGTCAGGGAGACAGACAGACAGACAAATATAAAGACAGCTGTTGCAGAGGTGGAAACGACCATGAGGAAGCATGGCCAGACGGACCTAGTGGGGAAAGAGATAAGAAGGGGTCAGACTTGAGGTAACATATTAAAGGTAGATATCACAGGATCAGCTGTTTTAGAGAGAGTTCTAGAGCGTAAGGAGTCGAGGGTGATTGGAGTTTTTGAAATAATGGTGCCATGACAGTTACAAAACGAAGTCCACGTGTGAGGCCAGTACTACCTAAGAGGCTCAGACTGGTCAAACAGCATTTCATTGGGGCCTGAGCACATCTGGGAGTCAGGGAGTCAGCCTCCCTCGGGGTGACCTAGAGGCCTGAAGACTATACAGGTTAACTAAGGGGGAGCAGGGGCGAGTGGTCCTGATGGAGCAGCAAATGCCCAGATTGAACAGTTTTCTTCGAGCTGAAGGAAAGTTGGTGTGTCTGGAGTTGAGAAATGGGGAGAGGGGACTGAACTTGATCCTGAGTGCAGCCAGAGAGGCTGTTAGGGAATGACATGCCCCTTAGGGCCCCCAAAGCACGCTCTGGCTGCTCTGTGAAGAAAGTTCCGGAGGAGGAGCAGAGTCAAAAAGAAGACGTGGTTTGGTTAACGCTCCAGTTCCGAGGATAGGCCAGGTGTGTATCTTGGGTCACCATTCCTGGTGTATCTTGGGTCACCATTCCTGGTCTTTGGGCAAATTACCAACCACTGTACCTCAACTTCCCCCTCTATGAAATGGGTATGATGGCAGCACTCCTCTTAGGCGGTGGTGGTCAAGATTGAATGAGGTAACCCCAACAGAGGACTGGATGTTGAAGGGGGCTGCAGGTCATCACTCATGTGGACTGAAGGGTCCCTGGTTCCATTCCGGTCAAGGGCATGGTCAGGACTCGCACAGGAGGCGGCCAATTTGTTTCACAATTGATGCGAGAGAACCGCTAATAGGCGGACTCCCCAGGAGGAGGGAGGAGGTGCACCTCATGAAGTTCCACGTGGCTGAGACCTGAGATCGGTCGGGGAAAGGTCTGGGAAAGCGGGCGGGTGCTCCAGCTGCCGGGCGGGCCTGGAGGCGGGACCTGCCTCCGGCGCTCCGACCCACCCGCTCACAGGAGCGGGCTTGGTTGCCCCCTGGTGGCCGGGGAATGCGACCTGAAAAAGCCACTCCCACCCCAAGACGCCTCCCTGCAGGCCTGTCTCCTGCCTGGCCAGCGTTCTCCGGTGTCAGTCCTTCCTGCTCACCTGAAGGACGTCTGCACTTCCAACCCTTGGGTTCCGAATTCAGAGGTTCTCCCGGGGCTCAGGATCACCATTTGGTTCAAGACCAAAGCCTCCAGCTTCCCACCCACCTCTACGTCTACGCAGTGTCCCCGGCCCTTAACCTAGCCATTCAAGTCCCCTCCCCAGATTCTTGATATCCTTCCAGAAACTCTTTTCACACACAGGCAAATATATAGATATCAATACAGTTTGATTTTTTTTTTTAACACAAAAGGTAAGAGTCTGTGCCTTGCTTTTTAAAAAATCATCACCCGAGGGTATTTTCCCATTGATTTTTAGAGAGATTGGAAGAGAGAGGGAAAGACAGAAATATTGATGTGAGAGAAACAAATCAATTGGCCGCCTCTTAGGCGAATCCTGACCATGCCCTTGACCGGAATCGAACCCTTCAGTCCACAAGCCAATGCTCTATCCACTGAGCCAAACCAGCTAGGGCTATAAATGGTTTTTTTAATATATCTTTTAGCAAGGCAAGGATTGAAAGTTAACTTTGACTTCTTTGCATGCTTCTGAATTCTATAAAAGTTTAAAATAATGATTGTATGCATTTCTGTGCAATTTTTAAAAATTAACAAGTCATGCAGAAAAATCAGGTCTTATATCATGATCAAATTCATTACATAATGTCCTGCTCTGCATTTTTCTCTCTCTACCACCACAGCCTTTGTCATGAGGCAAAAATAACAAGAACTTGTTCTTAATACAAAGAAGATAGAAATTAACTCATATGATCTCTATAAATTTGTCTTCTTTGATTTTTAATAACTATCCATGCACTAATGTTAGAATTTGGGGCATATGGAGTATCAATTCCCTCCTTAATTATTTAAACCATTCCATTTCAGTAGGTTCACACATGAATAAGTAGCTTGAATAATTCCATGAGAAAGAGCCTTATGAATTCTTATGAAATTTAAATGGTTTTACTATAAAGTCAATCTTAAATTTTTGGGAAGCCATTATTAATACACTAAAGTACTGAAGGCAGGAGTGGGAGGGAAGAAATCAACCAAAGGCCTTGTATGCATATAGGCATAACCCATGGACACAGACAATAGGGTAGTGAGGACCTGGGGCGGGTACAGGGTCGGGCTGGAAGGGGTCAATGGGGGGAAAAGGGACATATGTAATACTTTCAACAATAAAGATTTAATTAAAAAACAAAAAAAAAACAAAACACTAAGGTATTGAGGAAATGGACATAAAGTAAGAAAAAGTCGTCTGAAAATAAAGACTATAAACATAATGTAGTGGCCTAGAAAAAAAACTGTGCCCTGTCCTATTACATTGTAAAAATAATAACAATAGCCCTAACCGGTTTGGCTCAGTGGATAGAGTGTCGGCCTGCGGACTCAAGGGTCCCAGGTTCGATTCTGGTCAAGGGCATGTACCTTGGTTGCGGGCACATCCCCAGTACGGGGTGTGCAGGAGGCAGCTGATCGATGTTCCTCTCTCATCGATGTTTCTAACTCTCTATCCCTCTCCCTTCCTCTCTGTAAAAAATCAATAAAAAAAAAATTAAAAAAATAATAATAACAATAAATAAAAATAATGTCAAGGCCTTATTGGCAAACCATGAATGTGGTGGAACACCCCACTGCAGCTGCTTGGCCCATGCTTTTAGGCACATCAATCTCACCTAGGCTTTGTGCTAAGCCCCCTGGGCCCCTGGAAAACAAACTCCAGTGGCTCCATGGACTTTGTGGAGGGCATGTGGCCTTCCCAGGGCAGTGGCCATGTGCTCTGAGCCGACCACTGCAGTAGTTGTCCAGGAGGGAAGAGCCCAACCTTGGTGGTGCTCAGCTCCTCCTGGTAGAGCAGCTGGGGACAGAGGAGCAACAGGTGCGTGTAGTGGTTAGGAACACGACTCTGCAACTAGACTGCCTGGGGTAGCTGGGTGCCCTTGGACAGTGGGTTTTTTCTGCCTCAGAGACCCCAGACTTGAAGCTGAAGAAGCTGGAGCTGGCTGTCCAAAAAGCAAATGGGCACAGAAAAGAAAAAGCAGCCCATTCTCTCTAGGCAAAGGATTAGGAAAGGAACAACCTAGCAAGACAGAAATTTTTTAGACAATAACAGCTCTACTATGGCCCCATCCACATCAGCAAAGGCCAAGTGGGGAGCCTAGATTTCCAGCTTCATGGGTCAAAGTATTCAACTACCCCACCAATGTAGGGTATTGTGAGAGAAGGCCAAAGCTTTGATCTCTGCTGGCCATTAATGAGCCCTACCCTGCCACACCCTTCCCCACAATGTCAGTAGAAAACACTTTGGGAGCCTGGAATTCCACCCCTACCTGACAATACAAAAGTGGGTAAAGAAACATAAAGAAAGACAAGGTTTCTATGTTTCACTCAAATTAGAAAACTGATGACACCAGTAGACTGTGATATAACAGCTACAGCAACCACTACAAAAGCTATACAGAGACACTTAAAAAAACCACTATTGCCCGGGTCAGTGTGGCTCAGTTGGTTGGGCATAGTCCCATGCACCAAAGGGTTGTTGGTTCCATTCCTAGTCAAGGCATTTGACTGGGTTGCCTGTTGGATCCCTGATGGGGTGAGTGCAGGAAGCAGCCAATCCATGTTTCATTCTCACATTGATGTTTCTCTCCCTCTCCCTTCTTCTCTCTCTAAAAATCAATTTTAAAATCTTTATTAAAAAATATAACACTATAGATAATTTGAATTCTAAAAAATAAATGTCAAATAACCCTCAGGAAGGCAGAAAAAAAGAAAGACAGTGAAATAAATAACAGAACACACAGAAAACAAACCAAAAAAATTGAGAGCCCAGCCAGTGTGGCTCAGTGGTTGAACCAGGAGGTCACGGTTCAATTCCCAGTCAGGACACATGCCCGGGTTGCAGGCTCAGTCTCCAGTGTGGGGCATGCAGGAGGCAGCTGATCAATGATTCTGTCTCATCATTGATGTTTCTATCTCTCTCTCTCTCTCCCTTCCTCTCTGAAATCAATAAAAATATTTTTTTTAAATTGGGAGATATGTCTTAACCTATCAATAATTATATTAAGTATAAATCTATAAGAAACTTAATTTAAATATATAGGCAGATTGAAAGAAAAAGGATAAGAAAAGATATATCATGCAATCACCAATCAAAGGAAAGCAGCAAAAACTGATGAAACTAAAAAGAGAAACAGGCAAATCTACAATTAATACCCCTCTCTCAACACTTAATAGGACAGTTAGACAGAAAAATCACCAGCAATATAGAACTCAAGACACCATCAACAAACAGGATCCAATTAACACTTATCAAACACTCAACACATTCTTTCCAAATGCCCACTAAGTGTATACCAAGATGGATCATATTCTGGGCTATAAAAGAAAACTCAATAAATTTAAAAGGATTTAAATCATACAGAGTATGTTCTCTGACCACAGTGGAATCAAACTAGAAATTAATAACAGAAAGATAACGGAAAATCTTCAAACACTAGGAAACTAAACAATACATTTCTAAATAATTCATGGGTCAAAAAGGAAGTCCCAAGGGAAATTTTTAAAAATGCATTGAATTGAATAAAATTAAAATACAACATATCAGCCGAAACCGGTTTGGCTCAGTGGATAGAGCGTTGGCCTGCGGACTGAGAGGTCCCGGGTTCGATTCCAGTCGAGGGCATGTACCTGGGTTGCGGGCACATCCCCGGTGGGGGATGTGCAAGAGGCAGCTGATCGATGTTTCTAACTCTCTCTATCTCTCTCCCTTCCTCTCTGTGAAAAATCAATAAAAAATATATTTTTAAAATAAATAAAATAAAATACAACATATCAAATATTGTGGGACATGGTTAAAGCAGTGCTGAGAGGGAACTTTATGCAAGAAATGTGTACATCACAAAAGAATAAAAGCCTTAAGACAATAGCATAAGCTTCCACCTCAAGACCTATGGGGCGGGGGCCGGGGTGGGGTGGGGGCGGGGCGGGGAGCAAAGCAAAGTAAGCTCAAAGCAAGCAGAAGGAAGAAGCTTGTAAAGATAAAAACAGATATCAGTGAAATTTGGAGACATGAAATAATAAAGAACTCTGATTAAGGTAACTGCATAGGTAACTATAAAAGGAGTATTACTGTATTTTCAGTTTGTAACTCTCTTTATTCCCTCCATGATTTAAAATACAAATGCATAAAAAAATGTTACAAATCTGCCCGGCTGGCATGATTCAATGGTTGAGCATTGACCTATGAACCAGGAGGTCACAGTTCAATTCCCGGTCAGGGCATATGACCAGGTTGTGGGCTCAATCCCCAGTGTGGGGTGTGCAGGAGGCAGCCGATCAATGATTCTCTCTCATCACTGATGTTTCTTATCTCTCTGTCCCTCTCCCTTCAT